TCTAAAGGGAAACTCACATTATTTGAATCCAGTTATCTCCTTAATGTCCTTTTTTGTTCTATCATCAACATCTCCAAAATAAATGTTACACTTCGTAGGGCTTACCTTCAGTCTAGTAGATGCAGATAACTGATTGAACTGATCCATCATGAGATCTATAGATGTTCTATCTCCTCTAGCAAAAAGCAAGAGTTCATCAGCAAATGACAGACTTATGATATGCAACTTCTCTCACTTAGAGTGAAACATGAAGTTGTGGTTCTTCTTTAATTGGTCAAGGGATCTGGTTGGATCTAGTGAGGTAGTCCATTACAATCACAAAAAGTAAGGGAGACATTGGATCTCTCTTCCTCAGTCCTCTCTTGGAAGGAACGCTTCTAGTGTAAACTCCATTTGTATTGAATTTATAGCTAACAGTATTTACACAGAGCATGATCCATCTAATAAAATTGTTTGGCATACCAGATTCCTGCAAGATATTCTCAAGATCCCTCTAGTCTATGGTGTCATAAGGTTTTTTCAAATCAATTAGAATCATGCACCTAGGAGTACTTCCTTTCCTTGTATAACCTCTAATTAGCTCAAAAGCTAGTAAGATTTGGTTATGTAAATGGTTACCTGGTATAAAAGCTTCCTATTTTTTAACAATACTACTAATCACATTACCCGACCTAGATGTAAGGATTTTAGAAATCACCTTGTAGAGAGTGGAGCAACATGAAATAGGCATGTAGTCCTTGATACTCTTGGCTTCATAATTATTTGGTATAAGGGTGATAACTGTGTTGCTGATTGGCTTATACATCCTATCATTTATGAAGAAATCTTAGACTACATCAATAATATCCTTTTTATTGATATCCCAAGAATCTTTGAAAAGAGGGCACCATATCTATCTTCACATGGGGCTTTCTGGTTCCCAATATTGAATAAAGCATCATTTATTTCCTTTTCTGTAACAGGGCTCGCCATAGCTTCTCTCTGCTCATTACTTAGTTGGGATCCCTCCCTCATGGCCACAATATTAACTCCTTCAAGTTAATTATCCTCATTTCCCATCAGAGACCCATAGAAATTGAGAATTTCATTATCAATGTCTTCTTGAGTATGCAGATTCTCGCCATTGTCTGTATACAAATTAGTCAAGCTTTTTTTATTGTTTATGTCTTTCAATGAGGCATGGAAATAAGCATTATTTACATCCCCAAGCTTAAGTTATTCCACTTTAACTTTTTGTTGTAGGTCTTTCTCTTCCAACTCATTCCATTTCAGGACCTCGAGAGTACGATTTCTGATATCCTCAATAAAATGAGTATTCATCCTATCTTTAATGAGGTTATCTTAAGATTTGCACAACTTTTTTCTTGCTTCTTTGAGTTTCCTAGTGAAGTCATTGATAGGGTGACTCATTCTTCTCATAGTAAACTGAAGCCTTGTAAGTTTCATCCAAATCACAACCATAGGCTTGCATATATCATGTTCTTGCCAACTATTACTAACAGATTCCTTAAAGCCCTTCATGCTAGCCACTATATTGTTAAACTTGAACCTATATTTCCTCATAATATAATTCTCCTTAAGTTAGAGGCAAAGAAGAGCATGATTTGAGACATTTGAGTTTATGTTGTTGAGGGTAGTGCCTATGTTTTAAGTCAGCCAATCGAGATTCTCTAATATCATATCAATCCTAGAGTATATAGAGGCTTCCACTTGCTTATTAGTCCATGTGAATTATTCTCTAGTGCTATCCTTTTCATATAGCCCTGTTTCTTCCATCATGTTATTCAAATCCTCATATTCTCTTTAAGTCACCCTCTTGCCACCAATTCTATCTTGCGTTTTTGGGACATTGTTGAAGTCCTTATTAAGACATTAGGGACCCTATTGATTTTTGTGTATTTTCTCTATCCTTCCATAACTTCCTTTTGTCCTCAAACTTGTTAGATGCATAAATTGTAGTTAATCAAAGAGTAAATCTACCAGCTATGTCATACACACCCAATGTATGAGTTGACTAATACTCATATTGATCCTAATTTCCACTTTAGTCTCATTCCAATTAATCCACAACCTACCATTTTCATGTTTATCATGGTTATCTATATTGCTTCCCTTTAGCTTCACCTTGTTTCTCACATTAATAACTTTTTCTTTTTTCACTCTATTTTCTATCAATATGACAACATCAGGTCTAAGATTATGAAGATGAGAGTTAATCTTCTTTAACTTACCTGTTTTATTAAGCCCTGACATGTCCTATGAGATTATCACGTGACCTCATTTTGAAGCACTAAGGGCTCATTCAAAATCCTTAATGCATCCAATCCCTTAGCACATTTGATTAATCCCGAGGTTCCTTCTATCAACACTTATTTTCCCTTGTCTCTTATTTGTTTCCCTATTGTTTTCCATTGTTCTTTGTCATCATTTTCTCCATTTATAGAGTGTATGATACATTCCTTTTTGCTTTTTTTTCTAGTTAAAGTTTCTTTGGCTGCCATTGTTGGAGGTTCCTCTTCTTAGGTTTCTGTTCACACTTGTGCCCTGCTCTTTGGCATTTCTCACAGTACATAAGGATCCATTCATATATCACCTTTTGTTTCATCTTGTTCCCTGCACCATCACGTATTGTTATCTCTTTAGCCATTTCATGTGTAATGTCCACTTCCACAAGGATTCTAGCATAATAGAAGTACATTTTATTAGCCTCACACTCATCTATTACAACAAGTGTTCCCAAGGCGCTTCCAATTTGGCTCAAGTTCATAGCACCCCATAAGTGTTGAAGTAACTGAGGCAGTTCCACCCAAATTGGAATTGTTCTTAGCATATTTATCTTTAAATTGAAATCTGGTTTCCAATGTCTCAAGAGCATCTATATATTGTGGATTGTGTAAGGGGCTTTCATCAGGATAGCTTCCTTCTCTTGGAATGAATGGAATCTCAGGATGAAGAATTCTTCCTCACTATAGTACATATCAGGTAGCTTCATGAAATTCCAAGTCTTAATCATGAATTTCTTAATATTGTGCATACTGAGATTAACTCTAAGTATGTACATGATTAGCGCTGATTCCTAAAACTTGACCTTATCAGCAATGTCTCCTTCTCCAATTTCAATTTCGATCTCTCCATCAATCAGTTTTGGTGCAATGAGTTCAATTGACATGCCATTAGTAGGGTTGAAATTGCCACTGATCACACTAGTCCATAGCTTCTTCTCTTTGTTGTGGTTGTTCCCTTTACCCTCTGTTAGGGTTTCAGCTTCTTCTGTGACTATTTCTTGAACCATTTCTTTAGGCCTAGTCTCCCCATGGTGGTTACTCGCCACTTCATCTTCTACCTCAGTCATGTGAACCATAGAACTCGCCTATGTGGTGTTTGATGGTTTTGATTTCGATTTTCCTCTACCTTTCTTGACCACCCCATGATTCACCATTTGAACACCTAATTGTGATCCCTAATTCAAAAATTAGGAGTTTAAACCACAAATTAAGCTCAAAAAGAGATGAATCCCGGGAAAAAACTCTAACATCGTTGTACCGAAATTCGTTTCCTTTGTACACGGCCCTCAATGGAAATTGCCAGAGCCCATCATTCCACAAATTCTTTTGATATTTTTTAAATTAACATAATTACTAAAATACCCTCGATTTTATTTTAATAGTTCAAAAATATTATTTTCTTTCGTGCTTTTTCTTCTCTTTTTTTGTGATTTTTCTATATTACTTACATCAACTTATTATAATTATTCTCCGCCTTAAAATAGTTTTGTTTTTATTTAATATAAATTATAATCACTGAAATTTTTTAATAATTTTTTATGTTTATTTATGTTTTTTCCTTATTTTATTATGTATTCTATTATTTCTTATATAATATTTTAATATATTGTAAAGTATATAATATTTAATAACAAGTTATTTTATATATTTAAAACGTTTTTATCAACATATAATTTCTTTTATGTCGATAGTTATAATACGAATTTAAGTGTATTGAGATTTTTAATGTAATGTGGTAAGTTATGACTTTTTAAAATCACTAAATATTACAAATATTATTTTCAAAAAATATTTATGAAATTTTCACCTTTGAATATCATATCACTTATATAAAATCATAAGTATAAAAATATAAATTATTAATAATTTTGTTTATCTCTTTTCGTGAACCAAACATATTTTTAATCAAAATCGCCCCCTCCATTCCCTCTTTTAAACCAAACTTATATATATTTGTAAAAAAAATATCTCCTCTTCCCTCTCCTCTCCTCTCCTTTTCTCCATTAAAATTCCTCCCCTCCACTTCCTCTCTTTTGAATCAGTCAGACCCTTAAGTTTCAAGTCACTTAATCAATATTTATTGACTATTTCTTTTCAAGTTTGTAGAATTTTCCAACCATAAAATAAAATAAAAAATATTTTAAGCAAAGATCTAAAATAATGGAGGCCTAGAGATGAGAGGAACCAATAAATAAGGTATTTCGAGAACCTTTCCTATACTCTATTGATGGTGTTGGGGGTGTTCCAATTAGAAGTACATGTTTTTTATATGAAATTTATAAAAGAAACAATGTTAAAATCTTAGAACTAACATTGTTTGAAGAAGTTAAGAAGGACTAAAAATAGTTTGAAGCATGGTATAAGAATGAAATTATTATAAAAAAAATCTATCCATAAATAAATGTAATTAATGGAAAACAAAATAAAACTAAGGAAAAATGACTTAATTAGGAATTCTAGCTTTTTAACATAGTTTGTAAACACTTGGTGATGTTGGTTCTATCTTAGTTGGAAGTTACAATGACGAGATAAATAATATGTTTATTCTCTTTTTCCTAAAATCAACTAATCAACTAATTATAGTGGACATAAAACAGTGTAACACAGATATATAATTTTATTTATACTAATTAAATTGCATATTTTCTACTTATAATATATTGTAGAACATATGTTTATTTAACCAACTCTCTTATTAGCATCTTATAACTTAACTTAATATTGCAGTATCACAAATTTCTTCTTTAGCTTTGGTTTATACTTGAATACTCCATCTTGAGCTCTTGACATCTTTTTCCTCATTGCATGTTCTTGAGCTCTTGACATCTTTTTCATCCTTGCATGTTCTTGAAACTGCCTTTCTTTTGCTGCATCAATCCCTTCTCTAGAATTGGTTTGTTCTTTCAATCGCTTTAGACGCATTTTTTCCCTCCACATCCTTCTCTCAAGCTCATCTACATCCATTTCTTCATCATTATAATCATCCTCAACCACCGTATCAGGCAAGGTTTGCCTGATGAAAATATCTCCTTCTCCATGGGAACCACAAAACCTCTTGTCATCAAACATCATCAAACACATGGTGGTAACTGACAGAAAAAAAACAAAACAAAACAAACGAGTAAATGAAATCACAAAATTCCCACTTCAATCATCAATACACTAGATAGATCAGGGGCAGGATTAAGATATCAATAACTCAACAGATCTAAATTTCACACAAATTAAACATGAAAAGTACGAGCTTCAATGATAGTAATTCTAAAACGGTTCTCTCATAGACCCATCATCAAACACATGGTGAGTGAGAAAAATAAAACAACATAAAAATGTTTTAACAAATAAATTTCCAAGAATATCATCGAAACTGATCTGATAACAAATCATGCCAACTATGAAATGAGGATCTAACACACCCCAAAAGCATTAAAAAAACAACATGAAACTAAGAAAAATACAATAAATTCAAATGTTGATCAACTAAGGAAAAAAATTAAAACTTGAAAAATCATCCTGAATCACTCTACACACAATTAAAACAACAAATACACCCACACAAAAAAACACTAAACCTATGAAGTGAAGAGTAAAAAAGATGAGATTTTGATCGATGAGAAGAATCTTACCAGAAAATGGAGAAGTGGGTCTTTGTCAGTGGTCACCAGAGGTCAATTAGGGAGGGTAAATTTGGAGAGTTTTTGTGGGTTGTGTGTGGGGTCCTTGTGTGGCTTGTCTAGTTAGGTTTTGTGATTTTGACAAGGTACTAACATCTGAGTAGTTTTCTAACCCAGGTAAGAATAAGCTCTTTCTAGACTTATACTCTCTCCGTTTTAAAATGACTGTTATTTAAGATTTTTGTATACAAATTAAAGAATAAAATAATGTGTTCATAAGATATTACATTTTTACAAAATTAACCTTATTAATATATTGGAAATAATATCCAGAGTAAAAAGTAAATGACATAATTGAAAACATGTTAATCATTACTACATTGAGAAATGAAAATGACAGTCATTTTGAAACAAATTTTATTTGCTAAAACGACAATCATTTTGAAACAGATGGAGTATGTTTTTCTCGACAACCATAAAAAGTTACGAATGTCTTTGGAGTCTGGAGATACATCTTCGAATGTATTTTTTTAAATTATTTTTTAGATTAAATTGAAGAGGTATTCTTATAATGTTAAAATTTAATTTGGAGATGCATCTTCATATGCACAAAAAATTCATCCGAACATACATTCCCATAAACACCATTTTTAAAAGTTAGTGGATAATCCAAATATGCATCTTTAGACGTTTTAGTTTAATATCATTGCGCCAGACTTTTCCTCTCCATTCTTCTTCATTTTCTACACAAAAAAAAACTTATCAAAATAAAAAATTTGAGCTCTCCCACATTCAAACATCTCATCCATCCATTCAAACTTCTACCATTGAAACTCTATTTCTCCTCATTTCCAGCATCTCATAAATTCAAGTTTTTTCTTCTCGTCAATTTGATTTGGTAAGTTTTTTAAAAATATCTATTTTTATGTTTTGATTTGTAGCTAGTTGTATAAGTTATATTATTTGTTTTAGATACATTAGATAGTAGTGTAAACAAAATTGGTAGCCTACAAGAACATACATTAACAGATTTTTGGAGTGTCAGGGCAACAATGGTGTTTCTGCCATGGCTGAAAAATCGTAGGTTTGTTCGAAGATGCATCTCCGAATTTTCTCAGTGCTATTTTCTGAGATGCATATCTGAATTAGATCCGGGCTAAAATTTGGGTGATTTTGTAGATTTTGTGGATTTATACTGGCCTAATGTTTTCTTTGTTTTAGTTGTAACACATGTGCAATGGCTGATAACAACCCTAGCAGAGTTAGGCTCAAATGTGTGTCCCAAACCACATCGGTACCATGTGAGAGGATCACATCTAGGACCACGAGGCCACGAGTTAATGATAACTCGTTTAATGGTTCCCAACCATCAAGTTTTCATTGTTGAGGTTCTACTTCTCGTAGCCGCCTTTCTTAGGCATCTGCTTCATAGGGCCAAGAGTTCTCAAACGATGCAGCGAACCATGAAGTCCTTGAAGCCCGTGAGGAAGTCTCTATCCCATTAGAGAGTTATCCATGAGGCCTATTTGACACATCCTTACTTTATCTCTATGCAGATCATGCTGCTATGAGTAGGGGTGTTCAAAACCAAACCGACCCAATGGAAAACCGCAAAACCAAACCGAACCAAACCGAAACCGCAAAAAACCGCATTTGGTTCGGATGTGTTTGGGTCATTTTCTCGCGGAACCGCACGGTTCGGTTCGGTTTGCGGTTTGTATTTTACAAACCAAACCAAACCAAACAAAACCGCATTATGTTATAAAATCTTACTAACCAATATATATTTTTTAATTCTTTAGAGAAATAAACATGTATTATGTGTATATTTTATCATACTTTGTATTATATTCATTTTAATTTACAAATCATAAAAAAATAAAACATTATTCATTTATAAATATTATTTTCACAAAATATATTTTATCGTATTCTTTGTATAATATTTATTTAAGAATGCAATATTGTTTATATCATTCTTTAGATTTAGATAAAATTATAATACGCAATTTTATGTATCAAATTATAAACTTATTTTGACAATTATAAATCTTTTTATGGTAATGTATGAACAATTAAACACAAAATTATATTTTCCTCTATATTTGTATGTATGACTTAATAATTTTTTTTATAAAAAACCGAACCAACCGAACCAATCCAAACCGCATAAGTTTGGTTTGGTTTGGTTCGGATTTATTTTTAAAATCCAACCGAACCAAACCGAACCGCATGTTTTTTCTCTTGCGGTTCGGGTGATTTTTTCTTCAAAACCGCCCAAACCGCACCGCGAACACCCCTAGCTATGAGTATCTTGGAAGAAACAATATATATTTTTCTTTTGCAATACATATGTTTTCAACTAATTAAACTGATATTAATGGTAATATTTTCTTTTTACAAGAGCATACATGTTTGAAATTGATAAACCAGGGGCAAAATATATTGGAGTTGGGGAAGCTCACTACTAATTGGTTTCAAGATGTTCTCCTCTATTTCGATCTTGCTAGTTTATGTTTTGATGCGTACATGACCATATCACATGTCATGCAAGTGGATTTTACAGAGAGGTGGCATTCAGAGGCTTCGTATTTCCACCTTCCTATAGGCGAGATGGACATCACTTTGGATGACATCTTATGCCTCCTACATCTTACCATAAGGGAAAAGTTATTGGGCCACAAAAGGATCGATAGAGAGGAAGACATCGACATGATGGTCACCCATTTGTGGTTTGACCCAACAGAGGCCTCACACAAGGCGCATGACACTAAAGGTGCTTATTAGATTTAGTTTTTTTGGAAAAGTTGTATAAAAACCATCTGCATCGGGTCATGGACGCCAAAGATGATGACATGCAGGTTAAGTACCACTGAACTTCCACATTGAGGTGTTACCTCTTGTTATTGGTTGGCACATCCATTTTTGTAGATAAAAGTGAAACCTATGTCGATAACGTCTACCTTAAGTACTTTATCGACCTAAGTGCGATTCACAAGTACAACTAGAGGGTCGTCTGTTTGGTCTACCTGTACTCGAAGTTGGCGAGAGTTGTCTATGGAAGACAAAGTAGATGACAAGAGTTACATGTAACACCCCAATTCTACCCCAATTAATTATCGGAAAATCAGAGTATAAAAATTTCCAATATAATCAGGATGTCACATATTCAACAAAACACATAAACCTGTAATGCTTTTAGAATAGATACATAACACTTAAAGAAGCGGAATGAACACAACTCATGAATAAAGTCTTCATAACATAAACCAAACTTTGATTAATCACGCAGCAGATTCATAATAATTCTCTAAATAAGATATAGCATCTTTTGAATCATGAAACAACATCAATATAATAACTCCTCAGATAACATCATAAGTTTCAATAAATAAACAACAAAATAAGACAAGCGTTCATTTCTCCCCGAGTGCTATGTATCAGAGTAAATGACATTGAACTCGAACTAACAATGATATCGACTACTCATCTTAGTTACCTGCAGGTTACCAACAAAGGGCAACATTCAAACATAATGGGTGAGATATCAAACTACATAAATAGGGTTATGATAAACAATATATTAGATAAAGAATATACGATTCACCACTTCACACAACAACAACATAAAGCAACACAATTCACCTACGCATCAATTCAACTTATAACATCGCCAAGCATAAATAACACTTCAAATAAGAAACAAATCAACGACACCAAATGTGACTCAACTGTGAAAATGCATGTGGTACCATTGGAGAAGAACTCCCAACTTAGAAAATTCCAGTTTACTAAGGCATAAGGCAAAGCCTTCAACTTAGAATATGCCAATCCAGGCTAACATAGGTGAGCATTCGCTCCAACTTAGAACATGTCAATCCAGGCCAACTTTAATTCTATGTTATGCTATGCGACGATATAAATAACCACAATTGGACAATGCAACAACAACATAACAATGGTCGACATAACAACAAATCACACCGTTCAACATTGGCCAAAGGCCTTCAACATAACATATCAACGAAATCAAAAACTTTTCATGGAAACAACATATTCATCATATATTCACTAGAATTCACACCATAAGGCTACCCACAAAAATAATTCAAGATCACATTATCAATAGCGAATTCCACATATACGCAATGATATTTCGTAACAACAGCACACTCATCGATCAATACAAAATAATACAACAATGGTCATAAGACCTATAATCAACAATGTCCATAAACCAGACAAAATCACTTAACCAACTGTACTGAAAATTCGACGTAATCGACATAATTTCAACAAAAGACATATCCACAATTACCTACTAATTAAACTTAGTTATCCAGTCAAATTTTGTTAAATTCCGGACAACTAATTATATTGCCTAATTCGACTACTGATCAGTGGTTTTTCCACAAGAATTTTAGTAGTTACTTAGTCATTGCTCCATTCAACTAATTGATGTTTTAT